CTATTTTTCATCACTGCTGCATTCCTGTTACCTTTAGTCGTCACGTATATTTCGTGTTCCCTCGGGTACTCGGTCCCATTGCTTATCCATACGCCAGATATTTGTATTTATCTGTTATCTCTAGCGTGACCTCCTGTATTCTATGCTTACTATTTTCGTTGTCATTGAAAATCATGACTGCTGATTTTTCCTTACTGAATCTAAAATCTAACCTATCTCCCTGATTACCGCAGATGTCCATCAATCTCTGCAAATCTTCCTTGTTGTTGGCCATCAGCACTATATCATCTGCGTACTTTAATGCTGGTAGTGCCTGATCAATAATTTTTCCTTGTTTGACTAAAGAGAGGTTGAAGCCTAGTCCACTTCCCTCTAATTTGGTCTCTAATCCTTGTAGGTACATCATGAATAATAAGGGTGACAAGGGACACCCCTGCCTAAGCCCCCATTTTACTTCTGCAGGCTTGGATACCTGTTTTTCCCACTTTATAACTACCTTGTTAACTTTATAGATACCCTTTAAAAGATTAGTGACTACATGTTCCACGCCTAGTGTGTCCAGTATTCCCCACAGTTCGTCTTGAACCACACTATCGTACGCTCCCTTGATATCCAAAAATGCTAGTCACAGGAGCCTGTGTTCTTTTTCTGATATTTCGATGCACTGCGTCAGTGAGAACGGATTGTCTTCAACCTCCTGTTTTTCCGAAACCCATTCTACAGTTCCCCCAGCACCCCCTCATCCTCTATCCATGTCTGCAGTCTTTCCTTTATAATCTGCATCGCCAGCCTGTAGACCACTGATGTCACTGTTATAGGATGGTAGTTGTTTATGTCAGCTTTGTCCCCCTTTCTTTTGTAGATCGTGCTCATCACGCTAAGTTTCCATCCATCGGGAACTTCACCATCGATTATTATTTTGCTCACTGCCTCTCTCAAAGCCTGCTTAGACTTCGGACCTAATGTCTTTATCAGCCTAATTGGAATGCCTTCTGGGCCTGTTGATGTAATACTAGGAATCCTTTTCTCAGCCCTTTCCCACTCTCGTTGTGAAAATGGAGCCATTGCACCACTTCATTCGTCCTTGTCTATTGTGGTGCATAAAGTACTTCTTTGTTGAAATTTTTCTGTCACCCTTGTTCTTATATATTCAATAGCTTCGTCCCTTTCTAGCCTTGCACCTTGGGCTGTAGTTATAAAACTCTGCTCTAGGCTCGTCTCATTTCTTAGGGAGTTTAGATGGTTCCAAAATTTCGCAGCTGCCTTTCTATCTTTTTTATGTACTTCTGTCAGCCATCGGGCTCCCTTTCTTCTAATCCTTTCATTGATCAGAAGGGATGCATCCCTTCTACAGCTTACAAAGGTTTTCCATTTTCTTTCAACATCATCTGTCGGTTCACCCCGCTGCTTAGCATGTCTCTGTTCCCTAGAGGCTTCCTGACGTTTTGCTATGGCTGTCTTAACTTCCTCATCCCACCAACCTTTGGGGATTGTGTCTTCTTTTCTGGGGTGACTTGTCACGCGTCTTAGCAAGCTCTAGCTCAAAGAGTCTAATTAGATTCGTGTATGTCCACACTGTTTTATTATCCTCCGTGATTATTTTCCTAATTTGTTTAGTGGCTATTTCAATTTGCCTTTCTGGATAAACATTTTCCTGTCGTTGCTCATCTTGTCTCCTTCCCACTTTCACTGCTCTTCCAAAACTTAGCTTGATACGTTTGTGATCACTACTCAGACTTCTGGAGCCACCTTCATCTATGTGCATTCCCCTGAGCTTATCATACATCCTATGTGACATCAGTGCATAATCTATCGTCGACTGCAGCCTTCCTAGCTCCCATGTTATTTGCCCTTCACACTTCTCGGTACTGTTGCAAATGATCAAATCAAGCCTTTCACACATATCCATGATCATTTTGCCTGTCGGGTCGGTATACCCATCTATATCTTCTATGTGGGCATTTATGTCTCCTAGTATAATTATCTCGCACTCTCTTCCTAACCCCTGAATGTCCTTTGATATACACTCTACCATTGCCTGGTTTTCCTCTCTGGCCTTTGCTCCCGTCCACAAGTACACGAAACCAAGGAGTGTATAAACGACTGCGCGCGCCCCCACGCGGCTCCTCCTCAGAGGCTTCAGTGCTCTCCGCAGGCGCCATTTGCCGCTCATCACACTTCCCCATTCTAACCACTGTAGTAGGGTGGCTAGACTGGCCGCCCTGATTGTAGCGGAAGTAAGAGACTCATGCGCCACTGCAGCGTCTGCTTGTCTGCTATGGAATATGTGGGTTTGGCCGGCACTTCCTTGGTTAAGCGGGCGATTTCCTTTTTTGTGTTGGTGGTTGTGTGATAGGTGCCAAGTGGTGTTGCGTTGTGAGCCACACACGAATCACCATATATTCACCACAACAGCGTAAACGTTTTAACGTATCGCTGCGGACAGCTCGGACAGGTAGTGCCATCTGGCGGGCATTATGTGCAATCAGGCAGGTTCCGGAAGTGTCAGCCAAATCTTACCGTCAGGCGTGGAAGCGCACTTGGTTGGGTTTCGGTTTCGATATTGTGGTTTTTCGGTATTTAAAAAATATTTTTGAATTTTTGAGCATTTGAGTTAGCGGGCGCATGAGATGAGTGTCTAAGGAACATGAAACCACCATTATCTTTACATGGTAAAAAATGGCCGGTGTGTGTGAGTGAGAATTAATTAGAAGGCAGAGAGGTCGGCCTGTGCTAGTTCGTTCTAGCCTGCTACTCAACACAGGGGATAAAGGAAACAGGAAGGAAAGAGGGATGAAGAATGATAATTTAAACAAAAAGAGATGGTGCGTATGTACAGTAGCTACTTTGCATTTACCCTGTATTCTAGTATCCAGTCCAGTGTTTTTTTATAAAGTCTTAAACAGCCTTTGTAGCAATTTTTCACATTGTTTGGTCGTTCATTGCTGATAATACGTGGCTTTCACTCAATGGCATTCGTCCGGTGGTTGCCAATGTTTAAGTTAACATTTTAAAGACGATAGTCTTTTTTGGGGACCTTCGATGGAAAAATTTTGGCCTAACTATCTGTCTGTCTGTGTATTTGTCTGTTTGCGTGCCCTAACGATACCTTAAACGGCTCCAAGCGGCCAACCCCATCCGCAGTGCCCACCGATATTGCTCAAGCTTTAGCTCATAGTTGTGCGATTGTCAATTAATGAGCAATTATTGCGCATATCTGAGGCGCCATAAGAACACGTCGATGTTATGTATGTCTGCCTTTATACTAGAAGAGGCACACACAAGTAACTTTAAGGACTGTAGCGTTTATCGCGCTGCGCTGACAGTGCAACGCGATGTCAAAAAGTTAAGCGTTTCCAACGCTTTGCTACGCCTACACGCTAGTGACACCTGCCCGTCGCTTTGCGTTCTACACCTTGTCACCTCCGCGAGAGGCGCGCATCTTTTGCCGCGGGGCACGTGCCTTCGCTTTCGAAGATACCTGCCAGATGTCGCTCACTTCTAACGTGCCTCGATGCGCTCGTTCGCCTCCGCTACACGCTCCAGGTGGTTAAACGCAGCGCCTCCAGAATACCATTCAGCGATTTACTCGCGCAGAACATCAAATTAACGTTTTGTTCACTCTCTCTAGACGCAAGACTACCGTCTATCGACGACATTTGCAGTTTAACATGCAAATTCGGGGCCATTTTTGTGCCACGTATAATCTGCAGTCACAAAATATGTGAGCTAAAGTTTCGCACACTTAGCAGTGCTCACAGTTTGGGCTCTCCACATGGCTGATTTGGTGGTTGTAGTGACGAGTGAAGGCGACGCCCCGGTGAATCCAGTGCAGTATATCAACATGTCTTCGGCTGATTTGGCTTTTAACCCCATCCAGAATAAGCCAGATTATGCTAATCTGAACTAAGCTAATCTTGAGGAAGTCTCTTTACAGTAAGTTGAAATTGCCTTGACATTAGAATGACTGAGCATCGCCCCAATAAAACAATAAAAGTTAAGTTGAATTAAGGTAAAGCTAAACCAGTCATTTTGGCCCCGCCGCGGTGGTCTAGTGGCTAAGGTACTCGGCTGCTGACCCGCAGGTCGCGGGTTCGAATCCCGGCTGCGGCGGCTGCATTTCCGATGGAGGCGGAAATGTTGTAGGCCCGTGTACTCAGATTTGGGTGCACGCTAAACAACCCCAGGTGGTCGAAATTTCCGGAGCCCTCCACTACGGCGTCTCTCATAATCATATGGTGGTTTTGGGACGTTAAACCCCACATATCAATCAATCAACCAGTCATTTTGAGTGAATTCAGTTTAACGGGGCAAGGTAGGTTCCCGCGCTACCTACGGAGATTCAAAATCTGAAGTTATAAGTTGAATAATGTGGTTCAGAGGCTATAAGTTTGGATGATTACCTGTAAAATTGCAGGCTAAGAATTAAGTATAGGAATACATTAGGAAGAAATGGGAGATGGGTTATTCAGAGAAAAAAATCTATTGTTGAAAAAAAACAGGAACGCTAAAATTATTGTAACCTGTGATTGAGAAAATCAACATCAAGATATAAACACAGTAGTATTGAGAAGGAAGGGAGCATATAAACTGATTGGGAAGGCACAAAAAAGCAACAAGAGTAAAAACTCAAGGAAACTAGTAAAGTATAAAAAACAATAGGAATCAAGGCAGGGCGGGGTGCACAGAAGGACAAGAGAAATCGATATAAGGACAAGCCTTCCTGATCAAACTTGGAATTTCTTTTTTTTCTTGGTTTTTTGTTCTTGTTTTTCTTATTTTTTAGTTTGACGTTTTGCAATTTGTTTATTTTAGTGTTTTAGTGATTTTTCTTATATTATTATTATTATTATTATTATTATTATTATTATTATTATTATTATTGTTGTTGTTGTTGTTGTTGTTGTTGTTGTTGTTGTTGTTGTTGTTGTTTTCATGACATTTTTCTTTACGATTACTATTTTGTTTCTATTTCGTTGGAGCATTTGTTTCACCTTCAGTTACGAAAGATCATTAAAATGTCAGATAGTGTTGTATAGAAAACGTCTGTATTTAATTGTTGTGCTTGTTACTGGTAGAGTACCAATTTTGATTTAGTGGCGCCCAGATCATAATATTAGGGGCGGGAGGGGGGTTAAAAAAGAAAACAATTTTGAAGAGCCTTGAAGTCGGTTCATCAAGGTACCTCCGGAGACCATTTTGGTCCAGTTCAAAGGGCAAAAAGTCGCAAGGTGGTGGAATCGAGGAATCTTAATCAGAGGCATGGTGAATCGGAAGACAGCCTCAACAAATGACTCGAGACTTTTTCTTTTGTTCTATAAAGTGCTGAAATAATATAAGATCGTAGAAACTATAGGGAAAATACCGCTCCTCTCTTAGAGAGGCAAAGTAGGCCAGATAAACCTAATACAGAAGGACAGTGAAAACAGCTCTCCTGCGATGGGACAGGCTTCTTGTCATGGGCTTCCTGTGAGATCACACTTCTTCACGCTAAATGTAGTGACCATGGAAACCGGTATAGGATCTCCCCTCTCCCCAACAACAAAGTGCTATGCCATCCCTGGATGGGCACGTTCGTCGCTTGAGGTAATTGGCGAAAGTATTGGGTTGAGATAAAATTATTAGAACAAGCACGTCGTTGTACGTGGGTTTTCTACGTACAAGAACAACAGACCTTATATGATGGTAATATATATATATATATATATATATATATTTATATGAAGGTTATGAAAGTAGATGCGCTTTCACATAACAACTGTTTATTCTGCCGACGTTTCGACGGGAACGCCGTCTTTTTCAAGGCATAATTATGCCTTAAAAAAGACGGCGGCTTATATATATATATATATATATATATATATATATATATATATATATATATATATATATATATATATATATATATATATATATATATATGAAAACTGATGCCAATATAACGAGTTAAAGATATTGTATTAGTAAGTCGAGAGTTAGTAAGTCAAGACTTAGTCCGAGTACTTGTGTTTTAGGTTAAATAGTTTTGTACAGTTTGTCTCTGAGTCTTCGCTCGTTGCCATGGACGTGGTTGGCAATATGATAGCACACTCTACTCAACTTTTTTTTTATCTCTCTTTTCTTCTTAAAAACAACATTTGACACTTGTCCTATTATTTTTTATTTGATTCGGCAGCCTACAATACTTCAGTGAAGCATGTAGGGCATTGTTTGTTGTTTTATTTTTATTATTTTAAGATTAAACTTTGCCTACACAAGCCTCTCTGTATAGTCTGTAAGGAAATAGGCTATAGTCTCTAAATAGTGTGGATTAGGCCGGGCTAGTCTGATTCCCGCGAAGCTAATCACAAGCAACCAAAACACCCATTAGAGCTTCATGCCCGGGTGCTATATGTCATTGCGTACATGAACTCCCTTGACATTTTTGGTGAAAAAATGACCAGTTATTTTTTTCATCTCACGCTGTCATCATGCTCTGTCAATTGAGCTCTACACAGAGGTTATGAAACGGCTGCTAGAACATTATGACTGTGCCATGTGGGTCATCATGTGTGACTGTGCCATCATGTGTGTGATGGCGCCCATAACATGCTCGACATGATTTTCGTATTGAGACCAAACATTATTGCTAGCCATGCTTTCGTATTCTGTCAATTCAGTTTTGGCACACATTAAGTTAATAAAGCAGCTGTAAGAGCTCCATGACCAGGTCTTGTATGTCATGGCGTACATACCATGCTTGATATTTCTAGGTGTTATGAGCAGTCAATATTTTATGTTAGGCTGTTGTCATACCCTGTCACTTTTGGCGCACATAAAGTTAACAAAATGGTCTTCAGAACATTGACTGTTTCATGTGTGTCATGGCGCGCATAACATGCATGACATGATTTCCATGTTATGACCAGTCATTCGTGTTAGCCATGCGCTCCTATTAGGCCATGTCAGATTTTCTGCTCATCGAGGTAATAAAGCTGCCATAAGAGCTCCATGACGGGGTCATGGTGTCATGGACTAAAAGGTATGCATGACAAGGTTATCGTGTTTGACCAGTCATGTATATTTTTTTCATGGTCTCATCATACGACATCGATACTGACATACTGAAGCTCACCTAACGGCAATTGTAGCTCCTTGACCATGTCACGTATGTTATGGCATACAATAAAGTATGTCAATATTTTAATGTAAAGAGTAATAATTTATGTTTATCACAGGCTCTTTTATGCCAGGTCAGCACCTCCACGCGCTGGCCAGGCCGATTTTCGTACTAGATAGACCAAATAGATACCCTTTAAATGTCTTTATTTCACCATCAAAGGCATTGCTAGTAATAATTTGCGCCTAATCTATTTGTTAACAACATCGTGTGCGCAAGCCCATCTACAAAAAGGGATGAACAGAGTTGAATTACCGCACATTTCATTGAAAGCGATCGCTCTCTGCATGCCAAGTGATGCAAGTAAACGCGAATGTTTTAATATGGCGTCCACAAAATCAGGGTCTCCATCCTGCCTAGAAGGAGCACAGGAAGGCACCCATCCATACATGAGCCACAGTGCCACCCTCTCTAATATGTTAATGTATGGAGCTGGCTCTGCACCCCCCCTTTTTTCCCTCTCTGCCCTCCCCCCAACCCGTGTGCACGCTTATGCGGAGCAGTAGTTTGGTGGTCCTTAATCAGAGCTCACGTTCGCAGGAATATAACCATTGACGTTTCAAGGTGCAACCTGCTCGGCTGATGTGTGAGTAGTCCTCATGAGCCTGAATAAGTGATCGGCCCCAGGCTAGGACAGGATCTCAAATAGAATCCTACGTAATCTGGACCACAAATCTCCCATACAAATATTTTATAATCTTCTATAGAAAGAATTGCGGACAAGATTAACAAGGTATCAAAACAGGACTCAACCCAGCAATTGTAGAAGCTAGAGTCAGTCAGCTTTATCCGAAAACAGGGACGTTTACTACATCTTTATTTCATAAGACACCCATTGCTTACTTTATTTATAAGAAAGATGGCTGAACGTGTCATTAACAGGCGCATTACTCAACCCAGTAAGGACTATAATATTTGTTTGTAGGATGTTTTCCGGCTGGCATTATTGACCAGAATGTCATAAAGTTGATAAAACACCAGATCATCAATGTTCAAACGAGATATGTCAGGGCAATCTCAGGACAATACCTTGATAAAGCTCCCGGCAATCTCACTCATACGCGTATTCTCAATTTCATCTCTAGTTTTGTCTTGGGGCATAGATTTCACACATTCATCGGCTCTTTCCTCAAGAGTACAAAGGCCATATAAAATAGCAGATCTCAAATTTTAATCCTTCGTTTTTAGCTCCAAAGGTATGCAACAAGGTATGCCACAAAAGTGGTCTCACTACTTTTGTTTAATATTGCTCTTGGTGGGCTGTCTAAGAGGCTCTCCTAAAGAGAGGGCATAAGTTACACCCTTTATGATGATGTCATTGTCGGGTGCACGCGTGGTCATGAGGGCTGAGTAGAAGAGGCACTCCAACAGGCTGTAGAATACACCGAGGTCTATTCATTGGTAACGAACTCCAAGTCTCTCAAACGAACTAGGAACCTTTGCTATACAATGTAAAGAAGGGGCTAAAATTCGAGGGCTGGGTTCCCTTTCGGACATTGTTATAAAAATTCTCACCAGCTCTGCTCATGCGATAGAGTAGATGTCGAGTACTCGGCATGCTTATAGAAATAATGATGGCACTAATGGGCTGACCGTAAACAAGCTCACAGCTAAAATGTCAAGCATGCTTTGGCTTATCACCAGGGTCTTCAACTCTGGAAGTGACCTCAGGGAGGACAAGTTACTCATACTAATCCACGCTTTCTTAATGAGCCACATTACTTGCGTTGTTGCCACGCACTGCTGGCAAAGTCATAAAAAGGCTAAGCCTAATCTCCTGATCTGCAGGAGCACCAAAACAGTGTTAGGTGTATCATCGGTGTTCGCGATAGAACACATATAACAAAACTGTTGTTAGTGCGCATGCGCCCACTAGTGCTCAATAGCTAACGCTCAACGCACTGTCTGCCCATTCGTGATGTAACCGCCATCCAGTAAGCTTCGGGCAATAAGCGCTTTTGTTTTCCCTGTTGGAACCCTGGTCTGTGAGTCCCTGAATGAGGTGCAATAGTACGAATACTAGCACCGAACTCCTCGTGCAGTTGGGTACGCAAAACACGTTGGAAGAGATAATAAAGGCAGAGAATACGACTCAGATTGCCAGGCTCGAGCTCCCCCTCGATGGCGGACAGGAACGTCTTGACCATGCAAGGATATGTGGAGGTAGAAGAGGAACGCAAGCACAATCTCACTAAGAAGTAAAGGGCTAGTATTGCGGTCTCTCCATTGACCCGCAACGTGCACTCGCAGCACAACGTGGGGAGGCTGAAGGTAAGGGCTTAAGCTCTGTTGAAGCACGTTCATGCAAACCCAGAGTCAAGTTCTCGGTCACCACAGTTGACCACGCAGGTTGTGTTATCGACTCCACATCTACCACGAACGCCACTCTCGCTAAAGCCGAACAGGTAGCCATAGCTATTGCTCTGCTTGACGATTCCCGGCAACACATCTACACAGTCTGATGAACTGTGGTCTGAGCCTTTTCATCCGGGTCGGTGTCGACCTAAGTGAATACCATCGAAGTTCTTAGGGATGTTTCTCACACCCAATTTTGATTTCTAGATTACCTGTGATCACACCTGGTCTTTATGGTGACTAAATCACCCAAGCAAGTGCACTTACTCATCATGCTAGGCAGCCTGGGGGATCTTGAGATTGCAACCTAGTGGTTTTTAGCGACTTTTTTTCTGATTTTCGACGAGGTAACTACACAATACCAACTGCAGTGAAGCGTCTTCCCTCTTTCTCATACGGAGAGCACAAGCACCTATCATCTGCGTGCTTCAAACCAGTGGTCAGAAGATGAGAAAAGGCACCTCATTTCTGCGCTCCCGACAGGGTTGCAGAAATTAGGTGCCTTTTCTCATCTTCTAACCACTACCACTAAACCAGCTCATATCGTGCTCTCCATTCACACAGCCAGTTCATTCAATGCGTTTGCCCAACAAACCCAGATTGCCGCATCTGCGTTAGCGCTCATAATCTGACGATTTTCCTTATCTCCGCACACGGCCGAAGAGAAACGAAGCTCTGCGCTCAGAACTTTACATCAACTTAGGGCAGTCCAGGGGGCCCACGACGCGGCGATGAGGTTCCATTTATACCTGTCTCGAGAACGGAGCGACTGTAGCGTTATGTTCCCCTAGTTAAGTCGGAAGCGCCGCTGAGGACGACGTTCTGGTGCTATAGGACAGTGGGCTCGGTGACCAGCGGAATGCGGCAGTTCTTGGTATAGCTGAGAAACCTCGCGAAAATCCACTGGACTCGTCGTCTCTGCCACAGCGCAGCGCAAGTGCTTCGACACAATGCGAGAACCGGTCTCAATAAATAACCAAGAAGCTGCTGTGACGCATGGGACCTCTCCACGTGCAGGCTGCAAATTCTTTTGTAAATGCGCCTTGAATAAGGAAATTAGAGAAAAAGCAGGGCCAAGGAAAAGACGTACAGCAACAGCTTAAGAAAGTGGGTGCCCGAGCTGCTGGACTGATGGACGTGTTCTTGCCTCTAGTAAATTCATTTTTTTTTCAAGTTACTTCCTCAAAGGCTTGCCTCCACGCACATCTGCGGACCATCTTGGTGGTCAGCGCAGAAGAACCCATACGTTACCTCAACACGGCCCTCTGCTCTACCATGTTGAGCTGTAGAGTTTCTCAGGACCTTAATAATGTTCTGTGTCTGTGCGTAGCTCCCACTATCGTGCCGTCGTGCTCCCACTATCGTCACGCATCGCGCCTGATTCTTGAGTAATGGGTGAATGAGACATAGAAGGTTATTATCATCATCATCATATGTGCACGTCATCCGCTTCAACTAGTGCCCCATTGGCGAATGAGGCGGCGGTACGTTGCAACTCACATCTATGAAGCCCTCCCCGCCAATTCACCCGGCTCAAGAAGGCCAAAAACCGACCACCACTCCTTCGACGGCACCACCTACATCTAAAGCCCCGGCTCACAAGGCACTCAAATCACGCGCCAACGTTCCGAATACCAGTGGTACCGGAGGCAACGCAAGCACCAGCACGAGCCCCGACAAAATGGCTAACAAGAAGCACAGAGCTCCTGCCAGCAGTGGCCGATCTTCAAGTGACACAAGTGGGTCGCAGCTCTCTGACGACACGATTGCGGAGCTACGTGAGGCCTTTGCGTTATTCGACAAGAACAGCAATGGCGCGATCAGCACCAAAGAGCTCGGCAACGTGATGCGCGCCCTCGGCCAGAACCCTACCGAGGCCGAACTAAAGGACATGATTGCTGAGGTAGACACCGATGGCGATGGCACCGTCGACTTCCCCGAGTTTCTCGCTCTCATGACCAAGAAGGGGCGCAGTGCAGACACCGAAGAGGAGATCCGCGAGGCGTTTAAAGTGAGTACGCCTGCTCTTTAATATACAGGTTAATTGGTGCGAATCGTTATTCTTTTCTGTAATTCGATTCAATCCGTCATGCGCGCAGTGCATGCGTGGTGAACCCTAGTTTTCCACTATGGGGACGTGAAAATATTCAAACATTTGCAAGCAAAGCGGACTACACGTGCTTGAGTCTCACCAATCATGGAAAGCTTGAGGTCCTAATATAGAGGGCTAGCACTCGTTATAATCAAGGCAACCTCAAGCAGCACCAAGTGCTTGAGGTCCATGTACTTAGATTTAGGCGCAGGTACTCCATGTGATCTAAATTTCTGGAGCACCCCACTGCAGCGTCTCTGAAAATTGTATCTTCGTTATTCCATGTAAAACCACGATGGCCAAGCAGCCTCTTGGTCGAAAATCTAACCCCCGAATGCAGAGATGTTACTTGACTCGTACTTGACTCGTTCTTGACTCAAGACAGTCTTGCCGGTCGCCATAAATCGTTCTCGAACTTGCGGATGACTTGAAGGCGACTTGGCTCGGTTGAAGTCAGGACAAGTTTCAAGTCAGCTGCGGGGCTAGCTTGAAAGCGACTTCATGCGTTATTCCAACATGGCCACCTCTCGAATGGACGTCGCGTGAAAGGTGGCCGCTTTTGAGTTTGCTTGCCTCGCCATAAGCGTAGCATTTTTTGAGGCGCACTGCTTGCCGAAGATTCTTGGAACCGCTTTACGGGACCAAGGAAATCCGATGGAGTTGTACGACGAGCAACAATTCCAGGCTAGGTACAGATTCATGAAGAACGCCGTGGGGCAGCTGCTCGTTATGTTGCCACTCCGTGAAAGTGGGGACAACCGAAGACAGCCCGTGCATCCAGTGTTACAGCTACGGATGGCTCTCAGGTTTTACAGCGCTGGCACATTCCAACCACTCACCGGAAATTTCGTCCGCATTCCGTAGTCGACAGTGTGCCGTGCAGTCGGAAAAGTTACGCTACTCATCGCAAAGCACCTGTACGCGATGCTGGTGCGCTTTCCGCAGCCGGCAGACTGTTATGAAGTGGCTGAGTTCCCTTGCGTTACAGGTTGTGTCGACTACACACACGTGCGTATTAATAGCCCCGGTGTCGACAACGCCGAAGTGTTCCGTAACCGCAAAGGCTATTTCTGTTTTTCTATAACACGACACTTTCCGTCTCTTTCGGTAAAAAAAAAAATTGACTCGGTGCTGTGTCCGTGTGCGTCGTCTATCCTTTCATTCCGTCTAGGGCGCTGTTTCTCGCTGAGAAAGGCATCGCTTGTAGCACAACGCTACGTAAAATTACACACACAAAAAAAGAGGTGCCCTTATCACGGGTTTTTTTTTATCCGCGTCACCATCATGCAGCGATACATTGCTGCATCCCGCGAGACAGAATTCGGCAAGGTTCCATTTGGCGTTGCATAAGTCTGTTGCCAGACTTTGGGGTGGTTGTTGCCAAACTGCCACTAAATTTGGCAGAAAATTTTTCTCCTGTAGTTGTGGTTTTTCCGTAAGAGTTTGGTGCTATCCGCGGTGCACTTCTTGGCTGAAAATTTTTCTCCTGTAGTTGTGGCTTCTCCGTAAGAGAGACAGCAAGAGAACGCGCTTCGACTTCTGTAATGGGAAGTTCATTCCGTTAATTAAAACGGCCTCTTAATTGCGCAGCAGCGCCGCGCTCGACTTCTGCTAGGCTCGGTTCCTTCCGTTAATTAAAACGGAATTGGAACGGCCTCTTAATTGCATGGCAGCACCGCGCTCGACTTCTGCTAGGCTCGGTTCTTTCCGTTAATTAAAACGGAATTGAAACGGCCTCTTAATTGCACGGCAGCACCGCGCTCGACTTCTGCTAGGCTCGGTTCCTTCCGTTAATTAAAACGGCCTCTTAATTGCACGGCAGCACCGCGCTCGACTTTTGCTAGGCGCGGTTCCTTCCGTTAATTAAAACGGAATTAAAACGGCCTCTTAATTGCGCAGCAGCACCGCGCTCGACTTCTGCTAGGCTCGGTCCATTCCGTTAATTAAAACGGCCAGCGTCGCTCATGCACTCGCGAAATTCACCGCGGATAGCACCAAACTCTTGCGGAGAAGCCACAACTACAGAAAAAAATTTTTCTGCCAAATTTAACAACAGTCTGGCAACAACCACCCTTCCAGTCTGGCAACCACTTATGCAACGCCAAATAGAACCTTGCCCAGAATTCTGCTGAGGGCAATGTCCTGATCCCCACTTTTTCTCTTGTTTACCAAGCTCAACAAAAGGATACGAATCACATGTGTTTGTTCCCAGAACTTTTTTTTTTCATAATAACTGCGACCTAGCCCATTACAGGCATGCACACAGGCGAACAGAGGCAAATACCGTGAAAATCGCGTCACCTCGTGAGCCAGGTCAGCACAAATACATGTCATTGCATTTGATTGAGAAAAAAAAAAAAACGACGAAAGAACCCAACGTGATGCTTGTTTCTCCTCCAAACAAGCAACCGTGGAGAAACGCACCGCATTTGGGTGGCCACTAAAACCAGCGGGCAACGAACGCTTTACAGAAGCAACACTGCGTATCGCTGTGGTGGCAGGCACCACGTGCCGCTCGTTAGCCGTAAAAAGGCAAGAATATGCTTGTGGCCCTACGTTTTTATAGTTATTTTAAAACGTACGTTCTTTTTTTGCTGTAATGCATGCCTTACGCGAACAACTTCATTATTACCCTCGTTAGCAGGTGAGCAGCGTGTTTCTGCTTTGAAGCTCGTTCTTGACTTGACCAAGCAAGACAGCCTGGGCATCTATGAAACGCGAAGGCTGACTTGGGCGTTTTGAAGTCCGCTGCTTGCTTCGCGCTGACTTGCTCAAGTTAAGTTGAAGTCGCCAGCCAAGTAACATCTCTGCATTCGGGGGTTATTCCCCTCAAGCTGTAACTCCCTGGATAAACTTCAGTAACGATGGTGCATGCTCTGCATAGCTTAAGGCCAATCTATTCACTCAGTGTCAATTTTAGTTATCATTGCAGGTCCCAAACATTTTGTTATTTATTGGTTTCATCCCTTACACAACGTTTGCGTTAAATACGCTGTCTAGTTCCTTGGGGCATATTTACATCTCGTGCAACATGTTCAATTGACTGCTGAAAAGTAATGGCAATTTGGGATGGGATTGCTTATTTTCGCTCAGCGTTTCCAGCACATCGCTCACAACTGCTGACGGCGTCCTCATAAGACATGGCCCATACGCCCTGTTGTAGTCACTGTCATTTAGAGAATCCACATAATATATTGTGTCAATTCGTGGTGCAAGGCAAAAATAAACTCTCCCAGAAAACTCCACACCTTTAGTTAAACTGCCACCATTCTCTCACGAGACTCTTCACGCCTATTTCGTGACACAACATATGGTATTATGTCAGAGCTCGCATCGCTTCCTGACTTTTCACGCCTATTTCGTGACACGACATATGTTATTATGTCAGAGCTCGCATCGCGTCCTGTTTTACGGTTGAAAGAAATATGGAAATTGCCGAACTTCCTCACAGCGTATCGAATTTTCATAGGCGCGAGTCTTAGGTAAAAGTTCTAGTCAGCTGTCGCCTTGTCCGTCTGCAAGCGTTTGTGTGCGTTTTGCACGTGTGTGCAGGTGAGTAGGCAGGATATGCAGTTTACCTCGCTTATTTATGCAGGTGTTCGACAGGGACGGGAATGGCTTCATCACTGCTGCGGAGTTGCGCCATGTCATGACCACGTTGGGCGAGAAACTGACAGAAGAAGAAGTCGATGCCATGATACGGGAAGCCGACACGGACGGAGACGGGCAGATTAACTACGAAGAGTTTGTTGCACTGATAACGTCGACCTAGAAGTCTTTATACACGTGTTTCCCAGTAAATCAATAAAATCTACGACATCCCCTGTGCAGAGCGTTTGTTTTCACACTGATGCCGTGCTTCACGAGATGTGTCTCAAATCTTCAAAATTGAAGAATGCGCTGTAATCGCTCGCTGCCTTAACAATGGCATTATCTGTAGTTACAGGCATCTCAATATGCACCTGAAGTCACCATTTATTAGGACAATTTAGCATACGTGTGATGACGTTTATTGAACCGGAGAAGTCGCAACGATGTCGCAACGAAAAATGGCCGTACGAAAAGTCTGGCAAAAGCGACCCAGGTTCTCGTGCAATCAGAGCAAGGGGTTTTTCGTCCTCTTTGGAAGGCGCATACGCGTTAGTGCGTATGCTCCACTACAATACCCCCGGGGTGAAGAGTAGCCATTGTGGCGACTCAGGGAGTAGGTACAATGAGGGGGTCGTAGTAGGGCTAGAGACGGTCAGCGTGTACGGTCTCGCGTCCTCGACGGCGCAAATCTGGCGATTGTGTTAGGGGCTCGATGATGTAATTCACCGGCGAGGTTGCGTCAATGACACGGTATGGACCATGGTACCGGTTTTTCACCTGACAGGTTACTCCAGTTGCCGGGTGATGACAATGACACATACAATGATAAACACACAACATATACAGTTACATACACGCATGACAGTCACACACATAAAGTCACTCACATAAAGTCACTCACATGCACTGCACTATTTACAACGTTTCGTTCACGCCTGTGACCCGTAAGAATGTCAGTAGCGCTTTTGTAGAGTCTAACGCACTGGACGTGTTCTGCCATGGGCATAGAATATTTTCAACTCCGACTTTGTGTCCTGTTGTATTGTTAAGGCCATCTTCAGAGACTGTCTCTCTGATGCGTATATCGTACACTCACAGAGGACATGATTGATGTCTTCAACGACGTTACATTGGGCACAAAATGCTGAGTCGGACAGTCCAATTTTGTTCCTTAAGTAGTTCGTACATGCAACGTTTATTAGCATGCGATGTAAACACGTTTCATCTTGCCCGTTGAGATTTCACGGCATCTCGAAGTCAAACGATGGATCGATCTTGTACAGAGGCCCATGCTGTTGGCTGGTCAGTAATGTTTATGATTGGGCGCTAGTGTATATCGTTGTGCACGGCTTGCTGATGCACTGTCTACTTTTCTCTTAACAAGTTCGCGTTTGCTCTATAGAATGTCACAATGAGCTCGACAAGTATTGACGTAATTAAAGTTTCAGCCTAAAAGAAAATGTTTAGCATGGGTGATATATTCTATAAAGCTGGCATTAAACGTATGCGTACATCAAGCAAACATGTATTATATGAGAGTCGCTGTAGCTTGTTTTTAAAAGCATGCAGTTATGAAGCATAATGTTTGTTTGCATTGCATGCAAAACACCTTGTTGCAGTCGAAAACACGTCTACATTTTTTGTAGGCGTACGTAAAACTTGACACCACAAACAGCGCTGTTGTATTAACTCATCTGAAGGTTTCCCAATTTATTTGCTACAGCCCATTCACTTCTACATTCCTGTTGCTCACCTCGTCATATTTTCCCATTGGCGATATGGTTCATTACATACGCCGACACAGCCTCAATACTACATAGACAAACAATGATGTCATAACAAGGGTTTTATTTGGGAGGGTAGTGTCAGTATATTAGGCTTATCCACCCACTTGAATGTTCTATGGTTGATGTGTGACAAATTTTAGTGCTTCAGCTCCCTTTTCCCACGCTTCAGTAATTGTTAGTAGGAAATCTTTTGTTTGGCTATGTTCACAACAATCCAACGAAAGGCATATGTTTGAATGATATGCACTTTTTTTGGACGCCAATGATACCATGAATCTCGTTCACTGACGCATATTTGTGCTTACTCTAAGGTAAACCTCCGTTTTCATCACTCAATATCTCAGTATCTTCTGAGGAGCCTGAATTCCTCTGACCATTTCATATTCTGCAAGCTGGCACAGAGTGCCAAATACAGTAAAACATGGGCTGCATCTAAGGCATTCCCTCTATGATTACATGAGGTGTGCAGAACGTCTCCCTTTAAGACACAATTCGAGCTAGCAATTTTTGGGGCATAATTGTATCAGTAAATTCCAATCAATTGTCACTTCTGAAATTCATGAATTCTAAGGTTCCTGCAAAGAAACCTTGCTGGAAATGTAAATGTGCTGAAATGTGTAAGGCTTCAGAACAGACAAAATCTGTTCACTCCTCAGTGGGCAGAGAGAACACTTCTGTTCGCTTTTACTCTGGCTACTTAAACAAGAGCAGCCACAACGTAGCGAAATACGCTGCGCACGACCACTCTTCTGGCACAAGGCATGGCCTTGGCTTTAACTAGCTGTCCTCAGGAGAAATTGTGATAGAATTTGTGATGTCTTCTTTTTTGGCTGCCAAATGAACCCGTATAGACTATTTTGCAAAATCTGCCATATTATCCTGAATTCGGACTGGTGTGGAAGTGATTGAACTTCAGCATTTTATTTTTCCGTACTCATGTCCTGCTATTCTTAATGTGCATGTAATGTGTGCCTTCACACTCTGCATGCACGTAGTCATGGCACCGATTAACAACACTGAAGTGAGCACCAGAATGTGTGTGAGCTGCCACAAAAGCGTAGACAGATTTTTGCGTGTGTGTGTGTGTGTGTGTGTGTGTGTGTGTGTGTGTGTGTGTGTGTGTGTGTGTGTGTGTGTGTGTGTGTGTGTGTGTGTGTGTGTGTGTGTGTGTGTGTGTGTGTGTGTGTGTGTGTGTGTGTGTGTGTGTGTGTGTGTGTGTGTGTGGGCGGAAATTGGAGGAGGGGCACCACTACGATCTTAAGGGGGCGCGATTCATGAATGTGGTCGAGCGTCATTTTACACTCTGTGTACTACGGGGGAAAATATTCGAAAAAAAAAGGGGGTGGGGGTGAGCCCGGTGTGCCAACCCCTGGCTTTTCTACTAGGTTGCATCATCGCTGTATGCCTTGCCTTACTAAGCATAACATGTGTATGCATAGTCTTTTTTCCCTGACTACAGGGTGAACATGATGTGACATGTGGAGTTGAAATGGGGCATTGGCATGCTAATATTTTTGTCGTATCATCCCAATATCAAATATCAGTCATGCTGTATAGCCAATCGAGCCATTTCTTTCCTTCACCTGCGGTAGTAATGTAAATGTAGCTGGTAGATCGCTAATTTTTTTTTTGCTGATAATATGAAGTGAGTGTCTCTCATATTGCTCCTGTAATACTGAAGGATCCTCAGCAAATTGCAAGCCTTTCTTGAGTCAGCATGATGAGACATTTTGTCTGTCTGTGACAGTCTGTTGCCACAGAGCAGAACAGGAATGGCTAAACATACTCATGAACACCCCAAGAAGATGATTACTTGCAGTGTTATTACTTTTGTAATATGTGAAATACTCTATCTTTAGGTGTTGTTTAAATTTGAAATTTTGATTCAAAAAACCACGTTATTGAAAAAAGTCTGTATTGATTTTCAGTAAATTTATATCTTGCTCATGGTCTTCTCTTGTCTTGAACCAGAATATCACAGCATCCTTATACAACTTCAATATTGATTTTATAATATTGCTTTTTAATGTCATCACCGTGAAAAAATAACAGTAGATTAAAATCCACCTCTGGTATTTCTTCTTCTCACAGCGGTGATTCAAAGTGCAAAATTTCATTTATGCATTTATTGAGTTTAAAGCTTCATAAGTGCAGAGTGAGCATCAAAAACTACAAAACAAGGTCCTGGTGGCTGACCTTCCGCCACTACATCTTATTTAAGAAGTGTATAGCGCAGTGATGAAGTGTCAAAATGTCAGCACTTGCTAAAAAAGAACATAAAATGAAATGGCATTCACAGCTGCCCAGTATCTGCATTTTATTCCGAACTAAACCAATATATTACACTGATTAAACTTTAAAATGGTTTCAATGGTGTCATAGAAAAAAATGCCGCCATATCCACGGAGTGAATGATGATGAGTGGGCGAAGCTCCGGAGGTAAACCTGGTAAACCATGAATCCTCCGTACATTTTGCCCACTCAATTTTATTGCAACGCTCTCCCTAGCGTACGTCGCCGCACTATATCGAACGATGACACGCGCCATATGTGGCATCATTCCTATTTTATAACACCTCGCATCTTTCATAATCAACTACACGTACCGCCGTCTAGTTTATAACATCTTGCATCTTTTGGATGGATGGACGGACGGACGGACGGATGGATGGATGGATGGATGGATGGATGGATGGATGGATGGATGGATGGATGGATGGATGGATGGATGGATGGATGGATGGATGGATGGACGGACGGACGGACGGACGGACGGATGGACGGATTGATGGACGGACGGACGGACGGACGGACGGACGGACGGATGGATGGACGGACGGACGGATGGATGGACGGACGGACGGATGGACGGATGGACGGATGGATATGGCTGTACCCTTTAGATCGGGCGGTGGCTAGCGTAATACTTAGAACTGAACGAGAGGTGGCTACATACAGGGGACGCACAGCCCACGCCTTAAGGAGCTTCGCTCCTAAAACGGTTTATCTTCTAGTACACCTGCATTCCTTCTAGCAAGCTGATTAAATAGACAATGAAGTGAAAGCTTGCAACAGTTGACGTAGGTTCGAACATTGAGCCGAACATTGATATCGTACTAATTGTGAACTGCTGCAAGTTATGGACAATCAATTCATTCTTTTGTCTGAATAACTTTTGCGTCCTCTAATGAAAGACGATAATGGTTGCATTACACAAGGTAGTTTATTGGCAGCTTGCACAGGATATAGCATATGGTACGCAGGAAAACTTGTCACGTTGTTCTTTGGTTGTAGTACAGACTCGCAGTTCTTAGGAACCCCTTTGAAACAGTGCAGAATACGTTGCATCTGAATGTGATACGGGGAGCATGTTGTACAGTAAGCTGTTCTTATA